GAGCTTTAACGAGCATCGTCTCGCAAACTTCTGAAGTTTTGGGTCCTTCCTCCACAAAATTTGCTCATTGACTCTTCTTTCACTTAGTTGTCACATCCAAGTAGGTTCGCATCACTTCTGCTTTCGATTGGCATTTCGTTGGGAAATGAAGCGGACAATCTACTCTTAGTAGCACTGATCACCGTTGGTGAGGATTTGACAACTATTGTCTTTCATTATCTTCGAAGGGTCTTTGAACTTGTGCAGAGCTCCTCTGCTGGATAGATAAGAGAATTGGGGTACTTGGTTTCGCCCATTCTCTTAAGAATTGAGAAGGCAAAGGTTACTTGACTTCGCCCGCCTCCTCGAGGTTGTACTTCATGCATCGAGCTGGTTACTGGCCTTCGCCTGCTCTTTGCTCACACTTCTGAAGCACTTGAAGTGTTTGCACTCCTTGTGTTGAGTTAGCTACTATGATTCACCTTCTCAATGCCATCGAACTTCTGGAATGCGGGAAGTTTTCACCCCAACTTGGAGTAATTCTCTAATAGATGAGGTCGCCTCTGGGATTGTACCGTCTTCTCCATCAACCTTGCCGCCTACTCCCCTGAGCAGCGAAGGTACAGTACCACGTACTGCCTGCTTCATTCCTTGGTCATGCACTCTTGCATGACCAGAAGTCCTTCACTTTTGGCTATCTTGATGAGAAACTTGTTGACACCGGTCTTACGAAGTTTCTTGGCCTCTGCCCTTCAAGCTTGTCACGGTACTTGGAGATTGCCTCTGCATGTTCCACCTCCTCGGCCCCTTTCACGACCAAGCACTCTCCCTCCATGAGAGCAAGGGATCAATGACTTTCACGGAAGTCCCGCCTCTGCGGTACCATGGCGCTGCCATGCCCATGGCCCTACTATCTGTCGCCTCGCATCTACATCCCTTTTCTTCACAATCAGTAGATATGTCTCCGTGACACTCCTCTGAGTCCACCTACATTCTAACTGATGCTTGATTTTGGGTAGCTAAGTCCCTCTGGACTCGTCGTCGCTTCCTCGCCCCTTTCGACCCTCTGCTTCAACACCTCTGTGTTCTCCAAGCAACTCCCCTTTAGTCGATGGAAAGACAGACTGCAACTCCCATGAATGGCCTCTGCCATCGCATTATAGGGTTTGCACCGATTATATTCTCCTTAGCTTCCTTGGTAGCAACGTTTGCTTACTCGACCTTGTCCTCTGACTTGTCGGGCACCCTTAAGCGAATATGGACTCTGGAGCAATCCAACTCTCCAACTGTTTCGATCATACCTCTACATGATCAAATCCCTCCCATGGGACTCACTAGTACTTGCATTCGAACTTTTCCCTTGGTGGAACCCAGCCCCCATATGCTGATAACCAAGGTTTTCATCCGATGCAAAATTCGATGCACGCACGGAAGACCCACCTCCGCGGTACCATGGCCTTCACTCCTTGAATCCATAGCCCTTCTTGCCGTCGTGTTGTTCACCGAAGTGGAGCTTCCAATAGCTCCCGATCATATCTCCATATGATCTAGTCCCTCACGGGACTATGTCTTGTGTATCGCATTGCCACGAACTGTTCCACCACGATCCGCTGCACCATGTCGCCTCCTGGTGACATCTCTATTGCATTCTGATCCTTGTGGGATGAACTCAAATTGTGAACCCTCCATGTGTGGCCTCTGCTAATACATCGCAGGGTCTCTTCCACCTTCAATTTTGTTCGCTCCTTTGGCAATCAACCTTCATCCACCCACTCTTGGGTCACACCTAGATGAAGCACCGCTCTAGGACAATCCGTCGCCTAGTAGCTCCCGAAGTCCATCGACTTCACTATAATTTGTGCACCATTGTCTGGATCCTGGGCCTCTGCCCCTACCAGCACAATCTCCGCTGCGCACCGCTTCCTTCATGGCAACTTGAATGGCAACACTGTGACATATTCTTCAAGAGTACCCACCTCTGAGTCCTCTTGCCCCGTGCTAAGGCCTTTTGAACCCAATTTCGCCTCTGTAAATTGAGTCGCCTTAGTTCCTCCATCAAATGCTTCTCCGAGATAAGGTGCATGTGCCTAGAAGCTCCTTTCGTCTTTGGCACCATGCAAGATGAGTCCACTCCGTCAGAATGAAGGACCCATGGAATAACATGATTCTACTCTTACCTCTGCAAGAGTTCATGTCCTTGACCTCTGTCTAAGGAAAGCACTGTGCCTCCGCTCCATGTTCCAACTTCTATACTAGCTCCCTTCATGCAGCTTGGGTACATTGCCAAGTTACACCCAAGTTGCTCCGCTCCTCATTTTTGCATTGAGTCGATGGTGGCCCTCGCGCCCACCATTCCACAGGTCAGCCCTCCCTTGAGTCCGATCTCCATATCGACTCCAAGTGTGCCTTCATTTGGGTTGCTTTGGGTTGCTCCCCCACTTGATCTCGCAATGCATCCACCAATGCATTCTCTCGAGCGAGATCATGCAACGACTCCTCGTCGCTTGCTCGGTCCATTGAGTTTCGTGGAGTTGTTGTTTGTTGAGGTACTCCTCCTCAACATGTGAGGTTCGTCCACATGATTCTCCCTCTGGAGAGCCGAGACTTATCCCTCCAGGATAACTGTCCTGTTGGAGCAATATCTCTCTTCATTTCGGAGACCACCATCCCCTTGGACTACTCCGATATGCTGAACAAACTGTGCATTTTTTTGCCTCCTGCAAACGCACTTACTAGATTGCGACTCCACGTCAATATAGCCCCCGCTGCACCACTCAAGGCCTAGCAACATGCTGAACTCGTTGCACATTTCAGCCTCCTACAGACGTATCCTTCACATGCCGAAGAGAAAGTTTCAATGCTCCATGGCGCCGAGTTTCGATCGCCTTGAGATGGCCACGAACATTCCATCGTCCGTATACAAGCCCATGCATGAGTACCAAATTCTTCGAGTTAGCAATTCCCCTCACCTCTGTGAGCTTTGCATAACTCTTTTGGTCGTTGAGCAACTCATTCCACCTTGCATGGTCTCATCCTTTACCAAGCGCCTCGCTTGTCTTGAGCACCATCAAGTATAGTTGTCAACGTTGAGCCATAGCTCAAACTCAGTCATCCCAACCTTTGTGCGCTCCGCATTCTTCCAAGCTTGCCTGTTCTCGTGGTGCCTCTTGCACAAAGGGTTGGCCATTCCTCTGAATGCCAATGTCAGATGCCCGCTCCTCCGAGCGACTCCTTTTCCCTACATCTCCATGCCCGTTTTCCCCCAAACGGTCACGCGTGTGTTGACTGCCATCAATGCAGCCCCGCTAGGTCCCCCACGTTTGCATGCTAAGTGTTTCTATGAGTGCTTGTCCTGCTCTGATACCATCTGTCACGGACTTAGCTGGTTTTGCCTAAGTCGTGCGGCACCCTTGCGTGTCCGTCCGCAAAGGTCAGCCTCCCCGAAGCCTCTCATTGTCCCTTAGGACCAACAAAAGAGAGAACGGGTTAGAGAGAACGCCTCAATTGGGATCCACAAGCAAACATCTCTAAAAAACACTTCATAGACAATGCAAATTACAAACAGATTTTACAAGCTCTGAACAGTTGCACAACAAAGGGTAAAATGGTCCATTACAGATCAAAAATCTCTCACACGTGTCCACATGACACAACCTTTATTTACAAGCCTAAAGAGGCACCAACCTAACTAAAATGAGACCATTAAGCCTTCGAGCATCCCTCTACATGCTGTACAAGACATGAACATACCAAAAGACACGGACATACATAAGCATTACATCAAACATCCTGTTTAGAAGTTTATCCATGACAGCACGCTCTCTCTCTAATTTTTTCTTTTCTCTCTTAATTATTGATTTCTTTAATTTGGGCTTAAACGGCCCAATTTGTCCAAAGCCCACATATGGGTTGAACCCAACAGGTGGCAATAGTAACATTCTTGAATACTCCTTCATTAAGCCTTTGATAGATCAAGAAGAGAGCCTTCTTGTCTCTCTTTCTCATGTCCCTCAAAGAATCCTTTTTGACTTGTCAAGAGTATAGTTTCATCTTAGAGCTCATTATACCCCTTCTCTATTATCTCCCATATATCTTATGATCCAAGCAAGACTTTCAATTGGATGTTCTAATTTTCATAATTGTTAGTGAGATGGGGATAAAGGATGATATGTTGATTGTCATCTTGGATAACTTGGCTCTAATATCATTTTATTAGAAATTAACAGATGAAAGAAGAATGATTGAGTAAAAAGATAAAAGTATATCTTTGCTTGATTTCAAATGTTTAAGCTTATATTCACAAAGATATTCTCTCCTGTATTTATAGGAGATGAGAGTACAAGACTCCATCCATTCGTAAAAGATAAAAATTAAGAATTCTTTTAATTTTTTAAATGATATTTTTCTCTTCACAAGGTTTCTTGATAACTTCAAAATACTCAAAATATTATTCATCTTTCAAAAAGATCTATATTCCTTTTGAAGAAGACATCAAAATCATGAAGTCATGCAAGATGATTTAAGTAGGATCATCTCTTATTAAATTAAGCTTATCTTTAATAATCTTCACTGAGCCTTTCTAGAAGCTTCTAATCGTAAGCTACTTACGGAGGGAGTCTTGTGATTTCCCGTTTCGTGTGGATCAGTCAGTACTTGGGATTGAATTGAATGGAGCATGATTTCAATTGAAAATAAAAAAAGGGTATTCACTTAGCAAGAACGCCTGCTATACTTCATAATCACTCACACTTTAAAGCTGTATTTGAGGCTGATTAATGCTAAAATTTCCTCACATTTAGTTATGATCCTGCGTCTTAGCATACATACATAACTATACTTCTCTGTATTGACTAACTTGATTAAATGAAATGTAGTGTGATGAGGTTTGAGAGAACATTGGAGGGAGGTGATGCAACACATTATTGCTACTTTCACTATCAAATAACAAGCACCACTGTGTCTTCCCCACAATCACAAACACATTTGTCCATCAAATGTTGCAAGAAATTTGTCATATTATGTTGCAGAAAATGAGAACCATGTGCTTTTATTCTCTTTGGTACAACAACATGCACTTTCCACACAGCTAATGGTAGCACATAACAATTGCCATAGTTGATCTAAGAAAAAGTGAAAAGGTAGACCAAAATAAAAGCAGTCCCACGTGAATAATATTCTTGCACATATGGCTGCATAAACAAAGGGAACAGTATATACTACTTGCCAAGCAAAGTGCACAAACACATGGCACACACTATGTATGAGCCCATCCATCTCCCTTGCAATGGAGGCTCCTCCTTGTTCTCTTTATCCTTGGTTGGTAAATGGAAGTCACTGGAGTTGGTGGAAGCTTTGACAAGGCGTTTCTCTACCTAGAAACATGGCAACTTGTCTTCACAAGAGGGAGGATATGTTGAGCTGAAAGTGAGTGAGGAATAATGAGGCATGTAGTGATCACATGCTATGTCCCCTGTTCCTGCAATCACAAGACACACACCCTCCTCATCAAGTCTTCCACTCCTATTTCTACACGCCTCACACCCAAAACTATACACCAAACGAGTCACAAAATACACAAACCTTGGATAACTTCAAAAGAGAATTGTAAGGTCAGTTTATAGCAGAGAGGGTTGAGCAATGGCGGTGGCGGGGGCAGGAGACGATGTGGTCGTTGGTGAGGCCGGCGGCCTGCATGAAGGAGTGGACGACGGTCGGGCCGACGAACCGGAACCCGCGGCGAACCATGTCTTTGCTGATGGACTCCGATTTGGAGGTCTTAGCAGGGATTTTTCTGCGTGACCTGTAGCTGGTGGAGATGGGCTTGTGGTTGACGAACCCCCACAGATACTTGTCCAAGGACTCGAACTCTCTTCTCACCTACTCCGATACAGTCACATGGGTTGCATGATTAGAGAAGACAAACAATTGATGACCCCAAAAAGAAACAAAAGAAGAGAAAGCTCTTCTTGTTCAATGATGTTAACATCATTTTCACCAGTATCTGCATGCATGTTTATTACCAAGTAAATCTTCTTTCCGGGTGAAGAATTCTAGCCGCTTGTTATCTGCTACTTTGTTATTAGATATCAGCATATTTTTAGCGTAAGTGTAGTTTGGTTAACAATGTTTTTAGCAGGTCAGATACAATATGATACCAACTTTACCTCATCCATGGTTTTATTATACACAACAAAGGACATTTTTCTTGGATATTCTTCTTTTTATTGTTTGATTAGGCTGAGTGTTGTGGCTTTTTAGAGGCAAAAATGATGCAAACGAAGCCTATAAAGCACACAAATCAATCAACAATGTGGTTCTGTAAACAAAACTTCCGTGAAGAACAAAGCTGGATGCATGTCGATCGTAGAAGAAAAGATACCTCTATGATTCTGTTAGCATTTGCCACAACCCCTCTAACTCTTCCCAAATCCAGCCCGTGTTCCACACTGATTGAAGCCATCTGCCTCTCTGTAAACTTGGAGACCGTCCGTGCGTCAAATTCTGCAAATGCTGCCCTGCAATCACAGATCAAGTCATTTAACACAAGATTTCATAAGCTGCCGAATACTCTCTTTGCTTCTTACCTGAACCCATTCCTTTTCTTCAGTATGGCAGTCCAATCCATCCCAGCTTGAGCACCTGTTAGCACTAGCAACTCAAACAGCATTCTGCAGAATTCCCATTTGCGTTTAGTTAGCCTCTGAGTAGAGAGATTAAACTAGAGAGTTGTGGACACGAGATAAGGAGGAGATCATGGAAGCTCACCTGTCATCGTGGACAGGAACTCCCCACTCCTCATCATGGTAAGCAACATATACACGATCTACAGACATGAAATAGTAATCAAGATTCGCGCTGCATCAGAAATATATATACATCACATGAAGTTGATACCTGAATTTGGTGTTATGAAGCAGCATTTCTTCTCCTCATGGCCGCTCGTGCCGTTGCCGGGATGGTCAACGGAAACCACCATCTCTTCAAGCTTAGCCGCCGTCCGTCCGTAGTGTGCGACGCGCAGCTTCCTCTGCGCTTGCACGAGCGCCGCATGCTCCCTCTGCGCAGCTGCAATGCTTCCAGGAACTCTGTCGAACTCAAACGCCGACGAGAAGTCGATCGAAACCGCCACTTGGCTTCCTCCGGCGGATTTCTTGGGGTTCTTCCTCACCATCGCAGCCGACTTGACGGGGACCTTGGGCACTACAGGCTTTTCAGTGCTGGAACAGAGGCCGTTCGGCTCGTTCCCTCGCTCGGGTACGATCCTCGCCGGCTTCGACGTGGGAGACGGCAGTGGCGAGAGCTTAGGCAGGGCACTGAGGTTACCGTCACCAGAATCGACATCAAAGCAGGCAGCAGTTTTGGTGAACCATGTGGGCAAGGAGACCGACTTCTGTAGGGGTTTCTTGAGCGGCCAGCCGGCTTCCGACAGCGTGACGCGGTTGGAAGCCGGCTGCAGGACCGGCCTTCCGTCAATCTCGGCCACCGCTGCGTGGTCTGACTTGATATTTGAGCTGCACATGCTGTTAAGATGTGTAAGAGATGGTTGAGATGTACAGAGAGAGTTGGAGATGGGATGGGAAGAAGCAGCCCAAAGGGAGCATATAAAGGAGAAGGGGGGGAGTGGGAAAGTTGGAGACGGGTAAAGTGTAGGGTGTGTTACTTTTAATTATTTTTGATAAAAAAAGTTGTTAGGATCATTAATCACCCAATTAAGATCCTTATCATCTTTCCGAATATTCAATTAAAAATATTTTTGTAATACTTATTCTTCATTTAGGTTTGTTTCACACATCTCCATCATCAATCCAAGAGCTAAGTCTATTTTCAATAATTATATTTAGGAAGCTCTTTTTAGCTGTTGAATACCCGCGGGTGTAGGTTCCTTACCAAGAGATGCTTATCTCTCCCTCTCTGTGGACTAAGTGATCTTAAAGACTCCTTCCTGTTGGCTTTGGTTCTCCTTGGTGCCAAAGTGCAGCAAGCTGTGAAGTGGTGGACAAGGAAACTCCATCATTCTTCTCCCTCCTCTTTCTAGCTGGCAGGAATCTGCCTCATTTTTGTGCCTCAAGCCCTTCCGACTTCCCAGCTTGGACATGCATGGCTGCATGTGCAGAGGTATATCCACCTGCATGTAAAAGAAGCATGGATGGCAAGCATCATTTGCGATGGTGTGCATCTCATCTTTGGATGGTCACGGTGCTGATGGAGGTCAATGGCCGTGGTTGAGAGCCATCCATGTTTCATGCAACTTGTGTGATTCGACTGGGGCATGTCATGGTCTTTTTTCAGAGCTTTGCGTGCGGGAGATGACTTTGCAGATGGAAGTAATTGCTACTACCCACTTGAAGGAGATGCAAGATGGGGATTGTGGCTGTCATTGTTGCTTTGAGCCACCGACTTCAATCAGCCTCTCAAAGCCATCTCACTCTCTCTCTTATGTTCTTATCTATACTTGATGTGTATAGGAACTGGTTGAGTGTTAGAGTTGCTAGCAATCCATTTCCCTCATGCACATCCATCCATCCATCTAAATACGAGATCGATCCAACCAAAGCTGAAGCCCAGGGTCCTCCCACAGAGGGTGAGCTAATAATCTACGAGACGTGACCGATGTGGAAGCTTCGTGTTTGCATGTCCCTTTATCCCTCCAGTCTCCAGTATGTTCATATCCTCTTCAATGGAAAAAAAACCATCATATACAGTCTCAAGAAAAAAAAAACGAAAAAGAAAGTGATAGCCCGAGCGTTCTTCCTCATCTTCAACTTGGATTTACAAAAGTAAAAGAAATCGCACCATCCTCTCTGATATAGTCTGTGCAGTAAAAATAGATGAATCCTGAAGAGAGAGATATGATCTACCATCCAACCAACAATGTTTTGGAGGTAGAAGAAAGCATGACACTTTACGAGCTTAAATCAAAACAGTGGTGACGGATCTCTAGTATAAAACATTACGATAGTTTCAACTCCAAAAACACATCCATTCTGCAACCAACTTCCATTTAATAGTAAGGAGACATGCCATACGACTCCAATTTAATAGGACCATGCTCTCAAGTCAGACCCCCACTTGGCGAATCATGCAAACAGCAGATCAAGTGTTAATTAATCTTGGTCAACTATGAAGATTGAAGAATGTTGCTCCACAATGCAGTTTTCATGTGACAAAGCGATTAAAAGCTCAATCCATCCAGTGATCTATCTGTCTTTACCTTGAAACCCTATTTGCTGAAACAAAAATTCACCATGATCTCTTCTCCCTAAGCTTAAAAACAAAAGGCACCTGCGGTTCCTTTTTCACATTTTATAGGCGGAGATATGAGATTTACTTATTAAAAAAATCTTTGAAAATATGTTTCAAGCCTAAAGAGAGTTATATTTTGACCCGATGTAAACAAACAAATGAGATAGTGAGATAGTGCAATCAAAGAAGGATTGATATATGCAAGAGGATGAGTATCCATCCAACCTAGAAATCGAGGGTGATGATATAAAATATAATAAAGATGTTAAAAGACGGAAGGAACCACCTTAAAAATTGTATCAACGTTATGTATCGAGGACGTGCTATCTCACTTTCGAAACATAAAAGTCGATGTATGCCCTTAGGGAAGAAAAGAAGAATTTGGAGATCTCATCGACCTCTTTTTGTTGTCTTTCTATTTTAAGCAACTCGTAAGAGGCTTGATATTTATTTCCGAGTTAATTATTTTGATTGCTCGTAAAAGGTGATAAAGGGGTGTGAGTGGAGGAGACACACGACATTATAGACACAGAGGAGAGGCGACATCCACAAATCGCGACCAAAAAATGATCCCTAGCACTTAAATTTAGATTTTTTTAATTTTAAACAATCAAAACCTTAAAAAAAAAAAAAAAGGTTTTGTAGTAAAATTATAAACCTTACTGAATCAGTTTCGGCTTTTGTTGAATCGAAAAGAAAAGAAAATGAAGAAAAATACTAGAGTTTTTTTCGCTCGTAGTTTTACGTTTCCTTTTTCCTTTATTCCCACAAAATAAAATAAAATAAAATAAAAAATCTTCATTTTCAAAATAATAAAAATAATCCTCAATCTTTTTTTTTTCTTTTTTCCTTTAAAAAAAAATTACATCCTCCCCTCTCCCGACTTTTCAAATTCATCGTATTGAATCAAACCATTTAATCTAATCGAGACGGTTGAACCAACTCAAGAAACACACTACTACTACTATGCGGACTAAAGCCCGATTTCTTGTTCGCATAAACATAATATGCGGAAACTTAAAGAAAGCAGACTCGCCGCTGCCGTTCAAAAGTTTCTCTCCCAAATGGGGTTTTGGTCTCCTTCTCTGCTGCGTTTCTTCTGCTAATTCTTAGGCCCAGAGGAAAGGTGGGCGCAAGTCGCTGATTCCATGGCGCTGGTGATGTCTTGGTTAATTTGTGTTGCTCCTGTTGGACCATACTTTTTCTTGGTGCTTGAGGATTAGGGTTCAAGGGATGCCGACGTTGGCATCTGCTACGTGACTCTTCTTTCGGCGTGGGTAACTCTTCAAAATGCTTCTAGTTATCCATGCGTATGCAACAATGTCCATTTTGCCTTGATGCATTAGAAGAAACTTGTTAAGAGTCGTATAACATGTTAGCTTATCAAAATTCGAAAGACTTGTGTGATACAACCGTTGTTGTAAAGCTAAATATTACGATTTGATGGTATCTGGGGATTTCATCACATCTGCTTAGTCCATCTCAGATTTCCAAGGCCGTTTAATATGTTGTAGCAGGAGTAGATTAATATGTTGCCGAGGCATCTCGAGGCCGTTTGGTTGTTATAGTAGAATTGTATTAGTAGGTTTGTCAAGGCATCAAGTTCATCATGCATATCATATTTAAGAAAATTCAGCAGTGTATAAAAGGGGCAAAGTTGGGCATATAATCCCATGCATCAGGAAGGAATTCGAGGTTCCGTTTGTCTCCCTGCTCGAGCATTTATAGGTTATGTGGCCTGCTCGCCCAGGCTACGATTTACTACTGCTTGCATTTGTAATCCTACTTTCCTGAATTGGATCAATTTTATTCTACTTAATGGTGATTTGTCTAAAAATGATGTGCACGTGCGTGAATAAGCGCACAAACACACGGCACACTGCACACACACTATTAAGCTTGTTCCCCAAAATGATGTACCTCATATTGTATATCCTTGAAAATGATATAGTTTCAGAAATTCATGGTTAGTTAACTATTATGTGGGCATGTAAAACAACTGAAGTTTGTAACAAATGTTTGCATAATGATTTTCAGCTCATGACTGGTGGATCTGAAGTCAGAGTAATATGGTTTTTTTCTGATGGTCCATAATTATGTCCGATCATACAGTCAACATTTGAGGATTAAGTAATTCAGCACTGCACTACTCTTCTGGAGATCCCTACCTCATACTCTTTGTTCTCTTCTTTGTTGAAAATTTTCTGTTGCCATCATACTCTGTGAGTAACCTTGTTACATCATGATTGATAGCGGTTTCTAAAGTGCTTGACTACAAACATTTCACTCACAGGTGTTACATGTTAACAACAACAACAAGAGCGGTTTCTAGGCACTGATTGCAGCGGAATTTTGAAATGGGGGTTGCAAATAAAACTTCTTGGTTTCTTAAGATGAATCCCATCGGGAAGGTAAGTGATGGAAAGATCTTAAAATTCGAGATCATGTAATTATACTATTTTATTTTCCAAATGTTCTGGCAGGCTCCTGTATTAGAGACACCTGATTGTCCCATTTTCTAAACTACTGCAATTGCTCGTTATGGTATTAGGAGGTTATATGCTTTAAGATTTCACTCAAACCTTATGCCTTTCTGTTCATTCTTCTTTAGTGACTCGCTCGAAGGCTGACAACCCTCTTTATGGTACTTCACTCGTTGAATACGTAAGTTTGTTAGTTTTAATAACATCTTTGGCTTCGTTTCAATGTGATTATGTAATATATCTGGCCATGTGATTATCAGGCTCATATTGAGCAATGGATTGACTTTGCGCCTACAGAGATTGCCCCAAGAGTTGGATTTGGACCTTATCTTGCTGGGTCAGTTTACGAATATTATTGTCTTGCATTGTACCAACTATAACTTTACTCTCTCAGACTGAACAATGGTCCTTTTGTAGGTTGAGGAAGCTGCCATATCTTCTTTGAAGAGGGCCCTTGGTGCTCTGAACACTCATCTTACGTCAAATATATCTCGTCGGCCATGCTGTTACTTTGGCCGATATTTTTATGATTTGTAACTTATATCTTGGATTCAATTGAATCTTCATTAAAAGTTTTACCTCTGAGTTTCCGAAAGATACTTTTGGACCGTGGTTGATCAACCAAATTTCTGCAAGGTGTTAGGTGAGGTAAAAAAGCCTTCTCAACCGAAAGAGTCCCCAAAGCCTAAGGTGCAAGAACCCATGGAAGAGGAAGATGAGGTGCCCAAACCCAAGCCAAAAAATCCTCTAGTCCTGCTTCCTCCCGGTAAGATGATATTAGATGAGTGGAAGAGGCTTTATTCTAATACGAAAATGAACTTCGGTGAGGTTGCTATCAAAGGTACCTTTCCTGCTTTTGTCTGGTTGTTAAACTCATGCAATGATGATCCTTTGTTTGCCGTAGAAACAAGATGGTATCTGTTATGATAGTGAAACCGATGTCATCTTCTTGGGGAAATCTGAGACATGATGGCTTCTTTCATCATTCAGTTTCTGCTGATAATGTGTGGCGCCAGTTAGTTAAAAGAACTGTATGCGCTATTTTTTTTTTCTGGTCTATGCTAAAATTTCAGAAAACTCCTGTTTCTTGTTGCTGCTTATATGTAGATCTTTGAATGAAGAGGACCTTTTTTTTTCTTTTGTAGCTAAAGAAGTCGGAATTTGACATGCAGGTAAGGCTTTATACATTGACCCTTGTAGCCTTCCTAGAGCCTGCAGGCACAGAGGCAGGAGCCTCATGTGCAAACTGGGTTTGCCCTTTTTTTGTTAAGGAGTCAGAATTTGACAGGAAGTTAAATTAATGCTACAACAGCCAGTTATCTTTGTGATGATCAAAGGCCCCATTACAGAGTTGGCCCTTTTGTAGGAACATCACATGATATTCTCACTTCAAGACTGAAGCATGCTTTTTTTCGTTTATTAATCTAGATTTTTTAATGTTGTCTCGCATAGTGTAACGATTTTGTTATGTATGACTTCAGTTTCAGGTTTCTGGGATATGTATGACCGACCCCGAGGGGTACTCACTGTGGTTCTGTGACTAAAAATACATTCTTGACCCTGAACAAAGTGAGTGGTTTCCTCCAGCGCATGGACTTTTTGGGTCGGAAATGTGCATTTGGAAAGATGCTTGTCAATGCTTGGGAGCCACCGTAGAAGGTAAAGGGGCTGTGGCTCTTCCGGGGCGAGGAGATCCCCACAATTTGTGTTGGATGATTGCTATGACATGGAGCTAAGGTTAGAGATTGCCGATGAAACACACGAGGAGCGAGTGAACGGAGGACCAGTAGTCATTTGAAGCCGAGGCCCTGTCGAATGCCGAGTAAAAAGTCCTCCATCCAGTCTGGCCCAGCATAATATTAGTAGTTGTTACTATGACTTGTATGGCATTGCTTAGCACTGTCTTGAATATTTTTGAAATGTGATATTTATATGTGATTGTCTGATGGTAACTACTTTTTTTTTTAATTTATATATTTCTATCTGAAATTGGAGACTGCTGCTACCTTTATTCAAAAATCTTTCGTCATCACCTTTGGATTATGCAGCAGATGCAGACTACCGATTCTTCTTAAACTGTGATTTTAATTAAGACATGTATAAATACACTTACAAGCCTGTTTTATGGAATAAGCAGCAAGATAACAGTGTTCTAACCAAAGCCAACAACACCGAAAGAAGACTTTATATTTATTACTCACGGATGAAAGCAAACCAAACCGGTTAGCTTACGGAATATCGATCATATTTCTTGTTCATTATACATCAGAAGAAATGACTTGTTCAGTATTACAAGCAACTGGAAAACATAATTTCTTCTCTATACCGAAACGTAAATAACAAAAAACCTAAACAAAGAAAAATTGCCACTAAACACCTAAACAAAAAAAGCAGAATTAATTCCATAGAAACAAACAGAACTGATGGGAGAAATGAATCGCTTACATGAAAAAAAAAAACACTTTTCAATTGTTGAAAATATAAGACTAGTCAACACCAACCCTTCAAGTGTTAATTGTCATACATATAAAATGCGTTATAACAAATTTTGTCCACATAAATGTAAAGCATATCCCTATGGTGATTATAATCATATACAATATAATATCCTAAAAGGGCATTATGGTTCTAAAGCTTAACAAAAACAGCACTGAACCAAATTAATCTCAGATCTGTGTGGTTTTGAATATACAACTAATAGATTGGTTCAGGTAAAACACTTACCATTAATGGTATGAGAACTACAACGGATAGAAAGGACATGTAATATATTAAAAACTTATTTAATTTCATTAATAGTTGTTGTTTGATACATACAAATGGCTTACAAACAGCATATTTAATCATACAACCAACTCCATAATTTCGTCAGTCATTCTGTTGACAATAACCCAACCGGTGATAAAAATTAGGCTCACTATGTACTCGGAAATTAACTGTTCCGGACAATCATATAACTTTTTAAGTAATTTATTCTGAAGGAATCCAACATAAACAGATATCTAAAGTTTCCAACTAATCACACCAGTTAACAAAAAAAGAGGGTCGAGAAACAGATAAAAAGTGTCACACAGTTATCAACAATCATAATGTCAGTAAATTAATCACTGAAGAGAACCATATTTAGTTAATAATAGCCATGTTGCACGTAAAAATATCATACTAAAATTAGTATTGAGCAATGCTTTTGCCGAATAATCACTTACTGTCATAACCAAAAGCTAGAATAGTGAACACCCAAAAGATTTGTAGTGAGTCTGTCCACCACATCATTTCTGATCAACGACACTCGATAGAAAACTAGGGAGGTAGCTATTAAGCTGCCCCCAGAGGATCATATATAGAAAACGCATAGCAGCACTGATGACTGCCACTCTTTTTTATCGGCGTCCATGAGCTCGTTGCATGTCATATGCTCCCCAAGAACCATGGCCAGACCCAGATCCATACTGAGGACCAGCATCCGTCACTCCAGGAACCTATAGTTTAGAGACGGTTCAAAATCATAATTCTATAATATTAAAAAAACAAGCTACTTTGGAAAAATGCTAATACAAAATGCAACGCAAAATCATACAGGATTCACGCCATAGCCAGATGGATACGGATTTGCACCATAATTGGGATCTGGATTGCCATAATTTCCACTATAAACTGCACCTGTTGATCAAAGAAATATAGCTAGTTAAAATTATGCAAGTTTTGCCACAAAGAGTAATGTATAAGCAGGCAACAAAATATAATACAAGTGCAAATTGTAAATCCTAATGTATTGAAAAAAAGGTTGAAGATGAGAAGTCCTTGCTGGGAGGACTTGAAGAACAGAAGTCCTTGTTGGGAGGACTTGAAGAACAGTAGTCCTCTTTGAGAGAGCCTTAAATTGGCAGACTAACATGTGTGCATATAAACTTGATTATTTCTAGAAGTCCTTAGGAGGTCCATTCTAGAAGTGCTTGGATTATATTTTTAAGCTTTGGCTATCAATTAAATTAATTGGCCTAGTGTAACTGATATATATATTTTTTTATTAAACTTTAATGCAAATATCAGTGCAACAGATTAATACCAAAACCACCACAAACATCGAAAGTACAAGCCAGAAGACCCAATGAAATATTTACCATAGTTAACTGACAGAAATGATTTTAGGTACTTAATTAATGCAAATATGTACAGGGCAATGGAATTAAATTATTATGGAATACGTTGATACAAAAACATAAACAATTTAGGTAACTAAATACTCAGGCACCTACCTTGATTCCCAGCAGCTGCTGCTGCTCGTGCCCGTTTTTCAGCATTAGCGACCTCAGCTCTTAACTTCTCAACCTCACGTGCCATTGAAATCAAATTCTTCTCCATAACTTGCCCTTGCTCATAATTCTCTGCATAACCCTTCTTCTCATACTCGATAGCAGCCCTATATGTCATTGTTGTTCAAAAGATCAAAAATACCATTCAAGGATAGCAAAGAGGGAGAAGTAGAATTAATAATGGCAGGTCCATGGGCATATATGGGCCTCATTGTCAACTAATTGGCAAGGCTTCACAAGATGGGCCTGTTGAACACGGAGGTCACTTTCAGGCTCATTGTCAGCTCCGATGAGAGGTAACAGATATACAGGGTAAGTTTCATTCATGGTTAACACCTGATGGTATTCCTCACCTTTTAAGTCCTTCTCAAGATTTTCAAATAATTTTGACAGTATTCTGGAAACAGTCAAAAGTCTATCATATCTCTTTTATGTAATTGTGAACATCCAATATTCAAATATGTACACTAGACAAAAATTGCTGACGAACAAAATATTTCAGTAAAGCAGTAAAACTCTTCTCAGAATCAATTTGGAGCTAACTTTGACAAGTTACCAATTGTTTACACAATCAGAAAAACCTATCAGAAGTCTAATCTGAAAACCTTGATAACCAATAAACTCCAATATTGCATATGATTCAAATCTGAACAGCATATATTAACCCACTTCAATCTGTTCTCAAAGTTGATGACTTTCAAGTTGGGTTTAGGCTTAAAACCAAGTTGTCATTAGTTTCATAAATATATGCTTATGCAAATGAAGCACTAAGGTTATAAATGTCTGTAGCACCATGGCAGGATGTCTGAGGCAAGCTTAAGTTGTGCCTTTATAACATTGTTAGAGAAAACATTTGTAACCCGCATCATCACTACAAGTTATATTTCTTAAGAGGGATGAGAAAAGGAATGAACAAACAAAGGCCTCGATCTGCCATAGGAGAACTCCTGAGTACCCTTTATTTTTTGAAAAGTACTTTAGTGACCTGCAGCCATCGGATTTAAAATCCCAGGTTGCTAATATGATGTTTGTTATGGTATGTACTAGTATCAGATATTGTCAACATTATTCATAGTAGATTACATATTAATTATATATGAGTTAATTCCATTGCTAAGAGTTGGCTAAAGAGCTGAATCATTTTTCACTGAGCCATGAATGAGCCAAAAGGCGTTACTTGTGGCATTGTCCAATTGCAGCAAAAATCCATATTGGTTTTATCCCTTAAGAGGCACTGACTTCCAATCACTTTAGCCCAAGTATACCCGTTTGCTACTTCCCAACACATGTCAAGTACCTCAGAACATCTTAAACCCTTGCACCATTTACTCTAATTTGAGTAAGTACATCACATATATGCAGAAATATAGTTACCTAATACCTAGAATGTGGTGCACTTTAGACCAGTGTATAGATACGAGTAAACATTATGCCACTTAGCTTGTTTAGTGATTTGTCATGGTCCATGATATTCACTTATTTAGGTCATTTATTACATTTGATGAGATCTAAAGTCTAAATAGCTAACCATGTATCAAAATGGATCAATAAAATGGTCATAGAAATTTTAAAACCATATATTTATTTTATCATAAATGGTTCAGTGTTTCCTTTAGCTTTCTTGAAGATATCTAGAGTAACAATGCTTATGGAACTATTACCAAAGACATTAATGAGACAGTATTCCAATTTTTGGCATTTTGAATGGATTACCACAATGACCTAGGATGCAAAAGTAGCATGAATCAGGAACAAGAACCATATTGTGACAAATGGTAGCATGATCCAGGAAACTACACATAAAAGACTTTTATATAGTTTCAAGACATAATAAGAATTGGTTTATATATATATATATATATATATATATTGTGAATGTTTTCACTTGTATGAATGGTTGTCTGCTTCTCATAAATGTTATATCTGATGATAATAGATTATCGAAAACACAAAAGGATAAAATTTTAACAATATAAAAGTACATATTTTGTGTGTGCGTGGATATGTCATGTGCTACTTATAAGATTTTCCATGTCCACAATTCAGACTTTTCAGTATCATAGTTTTTGTAATTTTTACTCTATTTCAATTATATTGGATAAAGCAACTAATTTTTTACGTGGAACAAACAAGTGTGGTTAGCAGTAGAGATGATGAGCATGTTTCATGAGTACTACCTCACCCGTTGAGTTTCCTGCTTGATGGCTTCAATTTCAGCTTTAATCGCTGGTGCCTGTTGCAAATCTGCCGAGGCACGAGTCAAGTCCTGGGTAACGGCCTGAACCTGACCTGTCAGCTCCTGCCTCACCGCATTGAGCTTCTGTATGTCCCCACGGATCTGTATCAGCTCCCCCCTCATAGCCTCCGCAGCTCGCAGCTCCGATTCCAGCTTCATCGACTTCTCATAAGTCTACTCAATTTTAAGGGGCATTTTGATTAAAAATAGAGCTTGATTTATTTTCATCTAAAAACAAGAACCTAGGGATTGCATAGTCCGTGCCTCACGAAGCTGCAGATCCTTGTCGGCTTGCATGGAGGCGACAGCATGGGACATGCGGCGGATCTCGTGCTGGGCAGCGTCGAGCTCCTGCTTGAGGGCGACGTGGGTGGCGGCGAGGCGCTGGTTGTCGGCGAGGAGGCCCTGGATCTCCTGGTGTTGGGCGGCGAGGCGTTCCTCGATGACGGCAGGGTGAGGGGCATGGCCACCGCGGAGGCCGAAGGGGGGGCCGTCTCTCATCTCCTTGAGGAGGGCGGCGTGGTGGATCGGGCCGCGCCCGCGGCCGCCGAAAGGGGTAGGCGGCACATCGTGGAGCGACGGCGGCGGGCCCTTCATGCCGTGCTGCGGCATACGGCTCCTCCCCGACATCGTCGACGAAACCCTAGATTCCGATACGGAGATTCGAGGGTTTTTAGAGCCCAAAGAGAAACGCGGAGGCGAAGTGATCGGAAACCAGTGGTTACCTCGTTTCTCCCCAGGGACTTGAAACAAGCCTTCGCTGTGGGATCTTAACGCTGTCTGATCTTAAAGCATGTATTCATTACACAGGGCGTATAGAATTAGATGGCTCCTGGGAACGCTCTGTCGGACGCGGATTACTGCACGCAATAATCCGTGTCAAGATCGTACCGTATATAATTGAATCAAACTTGTGTTTTAAAAATAGCAGGTATAATATCGTTACGTAATTGCCTCTTTACACGTAGAATAATAGGTATAAAATATGCATATTGAAAAACTCTGTCTGCTAAAACTTTGAACATACTTGACAATATCATGCTACAATGGAAATATATATATACATATATATATATATATATATACATATATATATATATATACATAAATATATATATATATATACATANATATATATATATATATATATACATATATATATATATATACATATATATATATATATATACATATATATATATATATATACATATATATATATATATATATATATGGAGGACCAAATTGACTATCGTTGATTCAGATGGAGCACAGCCGCAGGGGAACAAAAGATCATGATGCATATGACAGATAATTTTACAATTGTCATATATATTTTTAAACTAGACTTTCGATCCCTTGGAGGGCAATTATTGAAGTACATTACAGAGTTGGCATGCAATCCATCAAGGATAGACAAGGAGACCACTAGGCCATTAACATCATTATCACTTACATCCACCAACAACCACAGAGGAATACTACTTGTGCTCCAGGATTTCCTACAACTTCACATTATGTCTTCTCAGACGACATCCTCAATTCTGTCGAGCAACTCACAATGCAGATAAGGGATGGCCTGCTGGAGTTTTGTTTTGGTAGTTGTAGACACCAGTTCCATGCTTTCTTCCAAGGCGACCAGCATCAACATACTGAACAAGGAGCGGGCAGGGGCTGTATTTACTGTCTCCGAGTCCTTCATAAAGCACCTTCAGTATCGAAAGGCAGACATCCAAACCGATGAAATCTGCAAGTTGTAGAGGACCCATCGGATGGTTAGTACCCAGTTTCATCCCAGTATCAATGTCTTCTTTTGTCGCAACACCAGTGTATAGAGCGTAAAATGCCTCGTTAATCATGGGCATCAGGATCCGGTTCACTATGAAGCCAGGGAAATCTTGGGAGCATATGACAGTCTTCCCAAGCCTGTCACAAAATGAGACGTCAATTCAAGGCGAAGCTGAATAGGCATGCAAACAATAAATAGTGCTTAAATGATAGCAAACACTAAACAGAACCTCAAAAAATCTTTTGTATCAACTTAACAGTTACTAAAACAGGAATATTGGTGTTTCTAAATATATTCATCGTTCCTCAAAACAATATTCTCGTGAATTGTGGGGTTTCCTCTCATTTCATAGACAAATATTAGCCAATATAGATCCAAAGAACCAATAAGCTTGAGTTGAGTAAGCCACATAATTATAATTGGGATCAAGGAAATACATTGACTCATGCACTTGGGTTAGGAACCATCTGAACCTTACCTTTCTGCCAAGGTTTTTATTGTCATGAAGACCTCATCTGAAGTGTCAGCTCCTCTGACAATCTCAACCAGTTTCATAATTGGAGGGGGATTCATGAAGTGCATACCTACCACCTGCAATATGAACAGAAATTGATTTTATAAAAAAAATTTATTCTTAAGGCACTTGCTTAAGTATTCCATAAAATGATTGATGAATAGAAAATTAATTTGAAGATGAGCACAAATTTGTAATGTTAAAACTTATCTCCAACATTCAAATGAGATAGGGTGGCTGTATAAAAAGATATACAGAAGCAGCAGTGAGAATTAAGGTATTTTTACATTTTCCATTTTTATATCATTTTTCTGCTATCTATCTGGCACTAGGAAAAGAACCAAAATTCTTCCATGAGAGAGCATCAAACAGCTGGAACATCTACAAAAAATGAAGCAGCCTTACAAGAAAATAGTGTTGAGCAAAAATATCAGAACTATTTTTATTTTATATAGATTCATATTTTCTCTAAACTAGCATTTTACAGAAGCAGCAGTGAGAATTAAGGTATTTTTACATTTTCCATTTTTTATATCATTTTTCTGCTATCTATCTAGCTCTAGGAAAAGAACCAAAAGTCTTCCATGCGAGAGCATCAAACAGTTGGAACATCTACAAAAAATGAAGCAGCCTTAAAAGAAAATAGTGTTGAGCAATACGATCAGAACTATTTTTATTTTATATAGATTCATATTTTCTCTAAACTAGAATATAGTCTGGCTTTTCACACCAGCTGATTTTGGCAGCCTTCTCATTCCCTTCTTTTGTCTGTTCTATTTCATCTCTCTATATTTCTTCACTTTTTTTTCCATTTAGTACCTCCCATATAAGGCTCTATGTGAAGCCTAACCCTCTTTCTCACAGCCAACCAAGTTCCTTTTTTCCACTATGGATATCTCCAAGATACTGATCTTCAAGTAATATATTTCCCAAGTAATGTTTCTTATTCACTTTGAATTGCATGATAACATCAAGAAGTACTTAATCAAGATTAAAGACATTAAAGGGCCATCGACATAATTAATTATCCACTTGAGTAATTTAATGATTAAAGGGAACAAATATAATAAATCCTGTCACTGAAAACCAACAACCATACTGTTTCTAGTTAATAAATAGCATGGTCTCCTGCATTATTTGTTTTCTTGGAAGAATTTATCCTTGAGATGTACTATCAAGTATAGCATTACCCGGAGCGATCATCTGCTAATCTTGGAACAGTTAATTTCTTTGATGGAAAAGTAAAGCCCAATTCAGCATCAGCTTCTAGAACAAACATATATATATATATATATATATATATATATATATACACACGTAAAAATATATATACATATATATATCTATATATATATATATGTATATATACACATATACATATGTATGTATAAATATATACATACATATATATATATATTCTTTTTTTCTTCACTGCAAAGATTCCTAAAAACTACTTTATTGGTCCACATATTATAGGCATCCAACAACTCACTAAATGATCGTGTCCAACATTAAAGCTAAGGGATAGATGGCACCAAGGATGAACCTTGTCGAGTAACTGATTCGAAGGAATCAATATGAAGTGTCCTAACTTAACCAACTTCCTAAGTTGAACCAACATAGTGGTGAATTACAACAAAGTGCATGGATCAAGGTCGGCATCTCAATGGTAGAAGTAGGTTGCACCGGAAGATGATCGAGTTACACCATTCACAAAGGCTTAGACCAAAGGTCGAAGGAATAAGTGAGGGGAATGTTATGAAGCAATGAAATCAATGTGTGTAATGCATATCGGTGATCCTTTTCAATATTGTTTTCTATTACGTTTTGGTGTTTTAGTATGTTTTATCATAAGAAACTTGTTCGGGGCATGAAGTAGTACTATTAGCCTCGTGGTAGTGTTTTTCATTTTTTTTCCATCTTGTAAAATTAGGAAACATTCTTTGTTATGCGACATTGGTCAAAAGGAAAAATAGTCAAAACATTTCTATTTTCATGTATCATTGGTTGACTTTTGACTGATGACCTTGCGACAAGAAACATCAGTTGTCTTAGCATCCTAGAATCCCCTCTGGGTGACAACAGGTCAAATGAAACTTTGGTTATATGTCTAAGGAGTGATGCAGCATCTTTAGCATGCTCGTCTTCTGTTCGATGAAATTGTCAGGTGAACATTAGGCATGTACCAACCTTTAAAAGCCCTTTGTGTGTGATTAATCATCCGCACACGCATTCAGCCACTTATGAGTCTTTTGTATTTAATAAAAACTAGTTGCTTTGTGTTGCTTATGTTCCAAATTTTCTTCCATTTTTTGTGTGATGGGCAGTAAATTACTCACACATTCGCCTTTCTAATATTTCCTTATCTTCTATGTTCACATCCTTAATGGACTACACAAGGACCCTTGCACATAGGTGTTGTTTGGGTGTCAACACCTTGGGCAGAACCACATAAGGATGTAGCACCATGTCCAATATTAGGATAATCAACTTTGAGTGTCACCTCTAATATCATTTGTCAAGACTTGGTCTGATATAATAATCAACTCGTCAACTTGTTGAGTTTGTAACACTAATCTAAAATGCTTTAGCACAAGTTAATTGTGGTAGATCTATCTAGCCCTTATAAATCCATTTAAATCATCTCTCACTTCCAATGTGAGACTAAGTCGGAGTATTATGTTGCTATTAACAACATATCAAAATCAAAGAGTTCAATTATTGATTCATGGTTCTATTCTTACAAGGCATTAAGTTGAACCTTATGTTATATAGTGATTTAAAAAGCACTAGGCACCAAAAGACGCCAAGGCCCCAAAATGCCTAAGGCACTAGGTGTTCGCCCGAGCAAAGTAAGGCGCTTTAAAATATTAAAATATATATGATATAATTGATAAATATGATTATATAAATAAAAATATAATATTAAATTAAAATGAATCTATTGAATTGCTTTATACACTAGCTATTTATCCTGAAACCCTAATAATAATTTTAAATAAACAATGATTAGCAGTGTTACAATCTAAATAGTATATTATCAATCTAGTAAATAAAGATTGTTTTGTACAGTAGTTAACAATCTACTGTTAATAGTATATCATTTACCGTTAACAGTAGTTAGAGGAGGAGAAAAGAACTATTAACAATAGCAAAGAGGGAGAAAAGTGCCACCGACAATAGAAAGTGGAGAAGGAGAAGGCAACAATGATGAAGGAAGCCGCAGACGACAGTAGTAGTGGTGGAGGAAGTTGTGGATGACAATCGCGACAGCAGAGGAAGCTGCAAACGGTAGTTGCGGAAGCTGCGGACAGCAGCGGCGGTAGCAATGGAAGCTGCAAACAATGACGTTGTGGGCGGAGGAAGCTTCAAAGGTGTTCGTCGGTGGCGGAGGAACCTACGATCCTCTCCCTCGATGGTGGAAGGAACTACACACGGAGCGACGGTGGAAGGAAGCTACAGGCTCTTGCTAGGCCATCGGACCCGTCCGTTGGCAACAAAGGAAGCCTCGGTCCGCTGCGTTTACGGCGAAGGCAATGATAGAAAGCAT